AATCATGGAAAAGTATTTTCTAAAAATGCGAAGATAAATACACTAAAACATTTCTACTCACGTACTTTGCGAGTCGAGACCTGTTTCCTCTGTCCCATTAAATTGTCCTTTAGACCTAGCATCTAACCAGCTGACCTGCAGTGAGTAAAAAAAGATGAATAATTATCACAACCTCTAACTACTCGAAAAAAAAAGAATTGTGTGAGATCAGAAAATTTCTAATAGTGTCGGTATTTACCGATCCTATCTTGTCAAATAGATCGTTGCCAGCTTTATCCTTCCTCGTCAACTCATCGTATGTAATATACCTGTTCATGTCCATCGTAGCCTTCCAGTTGCCTTCCTAAAAAAACAAATAAATCACGGGAATCAGCTTTTAGAAACTGGCTCTCCATTGTGGGCGCTTTGGAACTCAAGAAATAAAGACCTGCAAATGGGGAATCTCGACAGTCGTTTCACCACCATGTTTCTGCCACTGCGATAAGCCACCATCTAGTACAGATACTTGATTATGCCCAAAAGCCTAAAAGATTAGAATGATTTCCCGATACAAGGAGAAGTACAATTTTGAAAAAGTCAATGGTCTAAAGCCATGTTAAGTTGCAGTATCATGAAAAACTTCATCAGAATATTGCTACAGTTATTCCAAATTACATTACAGAGAAACCTTTGGAAATATATATTTAAAAGTAATAACTTTTAACAACCATGCAGCGGCCGAGGAATACAGCATTCCGTACAAAGGACCTCGACTGTAAAGAACGAGCTCGTCACTTGCATTTATGCCCAAAAGACGCATATACTTCTCAAACAATTCACGAGGATACATTGTGTACGCTTGATATCGTGAGGGGTAGGTCGCGACAGCTAAATCCATGTGGATTGCTTCAGGAATATGTGTTTGAAGATATTCTTTCCGAGCTCTGAAAAGTAAGACAGTAACCGGTATAAATCCAACAATAATTCTCTTAAAGTATAATAAGGCCAACAGACTGTGATTCTGCGCCAAGCAAAGTTTCGAATTTCCCGTACAGCTCCTTTTTAAAGTCCTTGTAACCGGTTTTTCCTATAGTTCCACTAGTGCAATCCAGAAGACGATACC